TACATAGGGGGCTTCTTGAGATCCTCCATCCACTCCCACTTGTCCCTGGCTTCCGAGACAGTCTCGGGTTGCTCCTTGAGCACCTCCTAGAGTTCAGTTGTTACTTCCCCAGTCCTACGGGGGTGCACCCATCGGTTGAGGGTAGAGAAGGCGGCCAGCTCGTTCTTGGCTAGCTGTAGTGCCCTTTGGGTCCAATGTGTGCCAAAAGGCTCATAATACGTGTCTTGAATGGCCTTCCTGACCTCGGGCGATAGTTCGGGGTCGGGGGTCACAGGAGACTTCCCCTTTGGTTTGATGATCGGTATGTCAGACCGTAGGTGGGCTTCCTCATCTTCTACTTCCTCTAGAGAAACGGGAGGTTTCTTGACTCGAGGTGGCAGTTGGTCACCGGGCCGGTTGTTAAGGCCCCTCGGCGGCACTTGGTCACCTTCTGACGAGTGAGGGGAGGAGGGCTCGCTGCCCTGTGTTTGGCCCTGGCCAAGGGCGCTTGCGCGCGGCGTTGTAACCTCCACTGCCTGTCCATACTTATCCTCATTCCTAACGCCAGCGGTACTCCCAGAAGCTCTAGGCAGCCACACACATATTGGCTCGCCAAGGGGGTCAGCATCGTTTGTGGATGAGGCCACTACTAAATGTAGGTGGTCCCCTTGGTTCCCGGCCTCAGCTGCTTTGCTGTCACAGACAGTAGGAATGACCTGTGTGGAGGGCCCATCTGTCGGAGCGGTCGGCTGGTTCTCCCTGCCAGGGCAACGACCACCACGTCTGGCGTCCATCTTGTCTTGACCTGAGGCGCTTGCTGGGTGCTCCAGAACTTTCCCCGTTCAGTCAAGCGGGGGTGTCAGAGGTGGACCAGCCCCTAAGGGTTCATTGCTTGACGCAGACCGCGTCGGGCGGTGGAAATCCCCTCCTACACCGTGAGCATTTGGCGATTCTTCTTGCTTCGTTTCTTCAGTTGATAACTCGGCGGAAATGGTATATTGATCATAGGGGGTACCTACATACATAGTATAAGTCCGACTAGAAGTACATGAGTGCGCACCAACAGAAACTAAGTCCTTTGCCGATGCCGTCGAATCGCTTATTTCGACGCCGGCTCGTCTTTTGACGACTTCTCTTCCTTGACCTCCTCTACCTTGGTGTCCTTTCCTAACTCCTCCTTTTCGGCTTCTGCGAGTAGCTGGCGTAGGCGTTGGACGGTGGGCTTTTTGCGAGGTGGGAGTTTGACGGGAAGCCACTTGGACTTGTCCGTCGGACATTTGTGGTCCCGGCTCCACCCAGTATTCCCACACTTGAAGCAGCACTTATCGGATCGTAATTTGTCGATTTCCATTGGCTGCCCTGCACCGCCATATGTGGTGCCAGTGGCGTCCTTCTTATCGCCGCTGGATCCCTGGCCTCCACCCTTCAATTGATTGCCTCGACCCGAACCGCCTTGGTTCAGGGAGGTCTTACCGCCTAGCCCTTGGGCGACGTTGTACCTATAATTGGCATTGATCCTAAGGACTCGGGCCTTCCACTGTGCGTAGGTTGTGGGGCGCTCATTGTCCCCATGCATAACCGTCTTTCGCACCGTCGGCCTTATCGCCGCTTCGACAGTCTCGAACATCTGCTTCTCGTCTCCGAACTCCTCGCATTTGTGAGCCAGCTGCTCAAACTTCGCGAAGAATTCTACCGCAGACTTGAATTCAGATTGCCGCACCTTCTTCCATTCTGCCTTCCATATGGTGAGTTCCGCGACTTCTCGGAACTGTACTGTTAGATCGTGTGAAAATTCGTCCCACGTGGGGAATTGCCAATGTCCCTGTGGGTCCCGATATCGGTAGTATTGGTTCACCCACCACTGCTGCGCCTCGCCCCTAAGGTACCCTTGCGCAAAGGTAATTCGGTAAGGGTTTTGCCCTTCGTTGTTCATCGTGTAGTACATGGGGAATACTTGGAAGTAAACCTCGCAGTGATGAAGGAAACGGGTAATATCTGAGGAAACCCCAGTGAAGTACTCTGGTTGGGTGATCAACTTGGGTTTCACGTCGTTCCAGGGATTATTCGCCGCTCCCGGGGCCAGCTGCCATGGCGGAATGGGATCTGGGGGCGGTGGCAGAACCAGTGGGACCGGCGCGTTTGGTGGTCACGATAGTGAGCGGAGATGAGGGTTGTCACCCGGCGGGGGATAACCCTCCGGGTACTTTGGCGGCGGCGGAGGCGCTGGTGGGGGTTGGCTCGGTACCATGGATTCCTTTCCCTTCCTTGATGTTCCTGCCCCCGGGTCGTCCCACGTATCGTCGGGGTCTTCGGGTCCCACGCCTGCCCAAAACTCCTCGGTTTCGAGCGGGTTGGGCATTGGTTGAGGTCGTCGGTAGGGTTTGCACCCCAGTCATGTGTTGTCGGGGTGTACCTGGTTCCATACCAGGGCCACTCGGTGCCATGTTTCGACCTCCAAGATATTTTTCATGAGGTAAACATCCCCCATGTATTTCGCGTGTCGATAATCTTCTCCTGCTTCCATAAGAAGCCACTGGGAGTCTCGCTCCATGTCCTCCATCATGATCTCATATAGTCCATGCCATGGTAAAATATTAAAGATCGTTGGTACCGGAGCCGCCGGATCGACAATGACCATGCGGACCGCCCTCATCACCTCGACCTCGAGGGAACTGTTTGGCGGCTGACTCGGCATCCTTGGCCTTCTTCCTCTCTCGGGCGAGTCTGTCAATCTCCTTGTTTCTCTTCCATCATCCAATGTCGGAGTCGGGGTCAGTGATCTCCGACTCATAGGCCTGCCAGGCTCTTCGTCTGGCCTCGAGGTCGGTGCCTGCCCGCTCGACAAGTCCGGAATATCGGAGGGCGGCAGCTCGCTGCCTATTTTTGATTTCGGTGCGGGTGGCGTCGGGCTCGACCGGGAGGTTGTAGAAACCATTGGGTCCAATGAGGGCGGCGATTTTGGCACGTCGAGTGTGTGTGTCTGCCGCTCTCGCTCGGTCCATTCGGGCCTCGATTTCTGGGGCAAGCCGGGCATTTCGAGGGACGTTGAGCGACTCGACAAGCGTGTGGTAGAGAAGCGTCCATGGACGCTGGTTGCTAGGGATGGGGTCGGCGAATGCTCGACCCGCAACTGACGGTGTGAAAGTGGTGACGGGGGCGAGGTCTCCAGCCCCAGCAATTGCTCCAAGCTCCTCGGGACTGTAGTCCGGGAACTCCTCCCAGAGCTGCTGATCCGTCGGTTCAGCCCTGGTGATGGCGGAAGTGGGTGCTGGGGCCTCTGGGCGGACAGAGACAGGGACGCTCCTCGGGGTCTGGATTCGGGCCACAGGAGCTTCTTCCCCTGGGTCGGCATAGACCCAACTGGTGGAGGGGTGCCAACCGACTGGGACCCCCCTGTCTGTCGGCCAAGCAGGAAGAACGGGTCCTGCTCCATCTGCACGGGCGGTAGTTGTGGCGGAGGCCCCAAGGGCAAGCTCTCCAGAATCACTGTCATAGTCGTCCTTTCGACTATGCTCCTCGTACCTCCTTCTCTCGCTTTCCCAGTCTGCATCACTCCACTTTGTCTGAGATCTTCCGCTCCAGCTGTCTCCGGAATGGGTTGCATCTTCCTCCTCGTTCGGGTAGAGGTCACCGAGGAGGTCTTCGAGTCTGATCCTTTCGAGATCGGTGAGCTCATCCCCTTCGTACTCGGTGTCAGGGCTTTCTTTGCCCTCATCCAGAGGCCTGGTGCCTTGTCTTCGGCCTCGGTCAGTGCTTGACTCGCTTTGGACTGGAGACTGGTCGAAGAGGCCTGGTAGGGGCGAGTCTCCTCTGTCGAGGAGTATGCCCTGGGTATCTGTGATGTCGACTGACTCGGTGGTAGCACTTCTGTAGGAGTCGGTGCTCGACCCTGAGTATCGCGAGCTGGACCGTGACGATCCATAGAGGGATTCTCCAGGTCCCCTGGAGACGTTGGATTCGACATCTCGTATGGTCTGCTGAGACACCGTGGGAATGTGGATTACTGGAGGGGGATATGCGGGAGTGCTGGGAACATAATGAAATGGGAGTTGTGCACGGACTCTCCTCTGTTGTCGAAAACAGTGGTGTAGTCGGTACAAAATAATGGACAAGAAAAAGAGTATAAAAGTCGCGAAGATGGCGGGAATGGCGTCGGACCAGGGCATCCGTGAGTGGGTCTATCCTTCGTACAGTCCGACGGTTACAATTAACCATGCGACTGTTAGGACAGGATAGAGTTCACTAGTCGTTATCAACACGATGACGGCTGATATGACGACTGCTTGCACGATGACGGGGAACAGCGTCAGTTTGAATGATCGAGGGATTTTGTCTTTTAGATTCAAAGAAGGCCAACGTACGCTGCTACAAGCAAGGCTGCGAATAGTGGAGCACTGATGACCGTTTGGATGAAGAGGATAGTCACAAGGACTATAAGGACAACGGTGAGGATTGGATCAGGTAGCAGGAGGGGTAGAGCCCAGTCAGCTACCAGGAGTAAAAGGATGAGTGGATAAATGTTGGGCAACATAGGACGAGCTTTGGCTAAATGTTAGCCACTAACTCTCAAAACTTAGATCAACTAGGGATCGCCACTCGCACTTCGGTGGACGATACGATAGAGGTCAAAGTCCTGGGGAATGAGCAGTGATGAGACAGATAGTCACGAAGAACGGAGCTTTGAGTTAGGTAGATTAAACCTTAGCCGAAGCTGGGGTTTTGGCCAGCTGAGGCTCTACTTAAATACATGTTTGGTAGGCTAATAATAGTACTGTGAGAATGCGTCCATTGCGATCACATATGAGTAATCCGGCTGAGTAAAACGAAGAAAAGGAAAAAGAAATGAATAAACCGTAACAGATTACTAGCAGGAGCACTCCTGGCTATTGCCCTCAGGCAATTATATAGGTGTTGCATCTGCCAATGATGAGCCCGATTACCATTTCATTACATTCCGCATCTTCCGATCCCTTACCCAGTAATCCCGTACCCACACATCCCAGTGCAACCCACACTTCATGATGGACGACTCATCACACCAAGAGGAGAACCCTCAAGTTCTGGGGAGTCTTCCTCCAGGGAGTCCTCCCCGACCCCAAGAGCCTCCTCCGTCGACATCACAGACGTATGAGGCATCAATCTCAGAGACAGTAGCATCCTGACCCCAGGCATCTTCCACATCTCTCCTGATGGAGGAGAAGAAGGAGGGGATCTGGACAAGGGTGAAGAAGGCAATGCCCTCAGTGATCTCAAAAGGATCCGCCCCCAAGACCTCCTCGACGGCATCCTGATGGCAGAAGAAAACGCTGAGCTTGGAGTCAGGTGGCATGATGTCTATACCGCAACCGGCTCCCCAAGAAACTTCCACGGAGACGACCTTGCGGAAGATAGTGGAGAGCTCAGCCTTGGGGCCTCCGCTGTGACTACCGCCGGTCCAGTTCCAGCAGTCCCCGCTAACAGGAGAGCTGCGCCAGATAGTGGAGGAGAGCGGACGGGGATCCCTGTGGCGTGGTACCCCTCAACAAGTTGGGTCTTCACCGGGGAAGAAACTTCTATGGCCCGAGATGAGAAACAAACCCCTGGGCCCAAGGACACCCCAATCTCATGGACCGTTGCCCTCCCCACCGAAACAGAGCAGCGTATCTGGGACGCCATCGAGGCGTACAACCCGGATGCTAACCCCGATACAGACACAGCAAGTACCAGTGGAACATCCATCAGCACAGATCAGAGGGAGGAGATTGAGTGGACAGAGTACCCAGGAGATACCAAGGAAGGAAGGGAGATACTTCACCGATTGGCAAGAGATACCTCCACTGACGAACTCCCTGGAGTCCCCCCTTTCACTCCGTCAGTCACGCCAAGAGCGTTCGCTGCCCCACTCCCCTTCAATCAGCGACCGTGGACTGAGGAGTACAACATGCTCGTCGAGTCCAACTTCAATGTTCGAACTGCCAGGCTCACCCCAGAAGGAGCGGCCAGAATGGACAGAGCTCGAACGAGCAGCACACGGAGTCGAAACACAGAGCGAAGGGCCCTCAGAGATGCCCATGAGTATCTCCCCCTCGAGCCAGATGCAACAGACCAGGAGGCGTTCAGAAGGATCGGAGCGGCGGAGCTACGCTTCCACCAAGCCTTACAGCGTACCAGCGACAAGAGAATCCGGACCAACCTCCGACACTACTTTGAGGGGGAGGTCTTCGATGAGGACTGCTCTGACCTCTCTGAGTGGAGGAGGAGGTACAATGCATGAGAAAGACAGAGAAGAGAACACCCAGGACCCTGGTCAACCAGAGGAAGCCAACAGTGGAGTAGAGAGGAGGTCACATGGTGAAATGCCAAGGAAGCTGCCTGTCAGCACAATAATGCAAGAGGTGATAAAGCACCTGTAGCTGCTACTTTGATGCATCAAACACTGTTAGTTGACAGTTAATTGTGATACATCAGGAGTGTCAGTTTACATCCAGCCCATATACAGTAATTCCATCAGGATGACAAAGTGGCTTAGTAAGCTTCCCAATCTGTGTCAATGATGGCATCATTAGAAAAGAGGACAATTCAGGGAATTGAACCCGAGACCTCAAAAATAAATCCAATAATATCAAATGACTTTTTTGAGCAGACATGCTAACCACTACACCATACTGGCATTATATATATATCTTTTCATCTCTATATATACCCTCCCTCCCTTAACATTTATGACCTCATATTGATGCCCTCCCATTGCTCCGCTCTGGTGCGCTCTTTTGCCTTTTTAGGCTCCCCGAATCAGCCCATCAATTTTGACTGGATCCAGTGGCAGTGCCACATTTCTAATACCCAAAATAGGGGCTATTTTCCGGTCAAAACAGCTATTTGGGCTATTCTCAGGCTACTGGCTGGGCCAGGGGATGGCACTATAATCTGTATAGACACAAACAACATAAAATAGAGCCCTCTAATGATGCATAGGAGCCCTGGATAGTGGGATAAAAGGTTAATATAATGAAAATCGCATAAATATTCGCTTTTGGGGGCTGCTGCATGCATTGGATCAGCTGGAGGACTTCACCAATCGATTCCCTGACCTTGAAAACACCCAAACGACCCCTCCACAGTACTCTTGGCACACTTTATTCCTGGAGATAAACGAAAATATTCGCTTTTTAGGGTGCAGCATGCTCCAGATCGCTTTGAAAACATTACCAGTCGATTCCTATGCTATAAAAACCCTAGAATACATCCTCCTTCGTAATATAGATCCAGTATAATACAGTATAAAAGGGGGTATTAGGGGGCATACATCGCTTATTTTGTTTCTCCCACTTCGGATGGCCTGGGGAGCATCACCAATGGATTCCCTGATATTAAAAACCCCAAAACGACTCCAGACTTCATTTATAGGGTCTCAAAAACGACAGAAATAATGATATTACAGTTTAGGAGGAGCACATGTAATAAATCCTATTTCTGGGCTTCGGACCACTTCGGAGTTTTGTCTATTGTGTTCATTGACCTGAATAACACTCAAATGACCCCACAGGACAAAGGAAACCATCAGAAATACGTGATAAAAAGAGTAATAGGGGGATGGAGGAGACATACCTTATATTTCGCATTTCTAATAGTTAGGGAGGGTATTCTTGTTATATAACAGACTGTATATATTGTACAATGGTGTGTACGAAGCCCCATGGATATCCGAAATGTATTGAATGAGATATGAGAAGATCATTCTGTAAAACAGGAGGAGCACATCCCATATTTCGATGTTCTGCTCATTCTATGGCCTGGGGACTATCAGAATCGGATTCCTTGACCCACAAAACAGTAGGGCCACCTATCATCCATTGGAGCCATTTTACCCAGATAACACATACAGCCATATGTAGCTACAGGACAATATAAGTAACAAATGAGAGAACATTTTGTACTTCGGAGTTTGAACATCTGAATACCATGGATGATAGGTGGCCCTACTGTTTTGTGGGTCAAGGAATCCGATTCTGATAGTCCCCAGGCCATAGAATGAGCAGAACATCGAAATATGGGATGTGCTCCTCCTGTTTTACAGAATGATCTTCTCATATCTCATTCAATACATTTCGGATATCCATGGGGCTTCGTACACACCATTGTACAATATATACAGTCTGTTATATAACAAGAATACCCTCCCTAACTATTAGAAATGCGAAATATAAGGTATGTCTCCTCCATCCCCCTATTACTCTTTTTATCACGTATTTCTGATGGTTTCCTTTGTCCTGTGGGGTCATTTGAGTGTTATTCAGGTCAATGAACACAATAGACAAAACTCCGAAGTGGTCCGAAGCCCAGAAATAGGATTTATTACATGTGCTCCTCCTAAACTGTAATATCATTATTTCTGTCGTTTTTGAGACCCTATAAATGAAGTCTGGAGTCGTTTTGGGGTTTTTAATATCAGGGAATCCATTGGTGATGCTCCCCAGGCCATCCGAAGTGGGAGAAACAAAATAAGCGATGTATGCCCCCTAATACCCCCTTTTATACTGTATTATACTGGATCTATATTACGAAGGAGGATGTATTCTAGGGTTTTTATAGCATAGGAATCGACTGGTAATGTTTTCAAAGCGATCTGGAGCATGCTGCACCCTAAAAAGCGAATATTTTCGTTTATCTCCAGGAATAAAGTGTGCCAAGAGTACTGTGGAGGGGTCGTTTGGGTGTTTTCAAGGTCAGGGAATCGATTGGTGAAGTCCTCCAGCTGATCCAATGCATGCAGCAGCCCCCAAAAGCGAATATTTATGCGATTTTCATTATATTAACCTTTTATCCCACTATCCAGGGCTCCTATGCATCATTAGAGGGCTCTATTTTATGTTGTTTGTGTCTATACAGATTATAGTGCCATCCCCTGGCCCAGCCAGTAGCCTGAGAATAGCCCAAATAGCTGTTTTGACCGGAAAATAGCCCCTATTTTGGGTATTAGAAATGTGGCACTGCCACTGGATCCAGTCAAAATTGATGGGCTGATTCGGGGAGCCTAAAAAGGCAAAAGAGCGCACCAGAGCGGAGCAATGGGAGGGCATCAATATGAGGTCATAAATGTTAAGGGAGGGAGGGTATATATAGAGATGAAAAGATATATATATAATGCCAGTATGGTGTAGTGGTTAGCATGTCTGCTCAAAAAAGTCATTTGATATTATTGGATTTATTTTTGAGGTCTCGGGTTCAATTCCCTGAATTGTCCTCTTTTCTAATGATGCCATCATTGACACAGATTGGGAAGCTTACTAAGCCACTTTGTCATCCTGATGGAATTACTGTATATGGGCTGGATGTAAACTGACACTCCTGATGTATCACAATTAACTGTCAACTAACATCTTTCAAACAGAAATCTAGCAGACCAGGCTGGATGAAGGACATCAAGAGGATTCTCACTGAGCCCATAACGGTGGTCCCATCCACCTTGGGACTACTCACGTGGGATAATCTCTATGAGATCCTGGCCGAGGATATGGTGACCAACATGCAGTGGCTACTTACAGAGGCAGGAGAGGATTACCTTGGTGCGGAGCTCGATGGGGATGAGTATCTGAGGAGGAACATCCTTGAAGTTGAGACCTGGCACCGAGCAGCCCTCGTGTGGAATGTATGCCACCCTGACTACCCCCGAGAAGGGTGCCCCACATATTGACGACCCGCACCGATGCCGGCCCCGTACGCGTACCAGAAGATTTACGTGGGAGGAGGAGGAGAAGATCAAGGCTTTAAAGAAGACGAAGGAGCTGGGCCTTCCCGCCCTGACAAGGGAAAGGGATCTATGGTCCCTCCTGTGAGGCCACCACCAGGACCGCCACCGCCTACTGAACCTAGACGGGCAGGATACCCGGGTGGGTACCCACCCCCTGGGGACAATCTGGCCCTGCGGTCATTACCAAGGCCACCAAACCCGCCGGTGCCTCCAGTCCCACCTTCGCCCCCTGATTCTATTCCACCCTGGCAGCTTGCTGTCGGTGTGGTCAACAACCCTTGGAATGACATAAAACCTAAGCTGATTACACAGCCAGAATACTTCACCGGGGTATCCTCGGATATCACATGCTTCCTCCATCACTGCAAACTTTATTTTCAAGTCTTTCCCATGTACTACACCATGAATGATGTTGGGCAAAACCCGTATCGAATTACCTTCGCCCAATCCTACTTACGAGGGAAGGTGCAGGAGTGGTGGAACGACCAATTCTACCATTATTGAGACGCTCATGGGCACTGGAGATTGCCCTCGTGGCAGGAGTTCACCAATGATCTCATGCGACAATTCCGAGAAGTAGCAGAGCTTGCCATTTGGAAGCAGAAGTGGAAGAAGCTTCGCCAGTCCGACTACAAATCGGCTGTGGAGTTTTTCTCGGAGTTCGAAAGGTTAGCACACAAGTGCGAAGAATTCAGGGACGAGAAACAGATGTTCAAAGCCATCAAAGCCGCTGTATGTCCCACAGTCCGGACCACCATCATGCACGGGGACAACACTCATCCCACCACATATGCTGAGTGGAAATGGCAAGTCAAAAGGATCGACGCCAATTACCGATACAATTATGCTCAGCAAGGAGGCAAGTCCTCACCCAACCAAAGCAGCAGTTCGGATCGAGGCAATCAAAGTCAGAAAAGCAGGGGCGCTGGAGGATCCGGCAATAAAAAGGACGCCACCAGCACCACCTACGGAGGGGCAGGACAGCTGATGGAAATCAATAAGCTGTGAAGCGAGAAGTGGTGCTTCAAGTGCGGAAATACCGGGTGGAGCTGGGACCATAAATGTCCGACGGACAAATCAAAATGGATCCCGGTTAAACTCCCTCCATGCAAGAAGATCCCCATCCAATGACTCTGACAACTACTCGCAGAGGCCAAAAAGGAGGAGAGCGGGAAGGACTCAAAGGTTGAAGAGGTCAAGGAGGATCGGTCGTCAAAAGAAGAGCCAGCGTCGAAATAAGCGATTCGACAGTGTTGGCAAAGGACTTAGTTTCACCTGGTGTGCATTCTCATTCTACTAGTCAGGCTCAATCTGTATATGTAGGTACTCCATACGATCAATATACCAATTTTTTTCGCCGTGTTAACAGTAGAAGGAACTAAGGAAGAGGAATCGCATAACACTAATGGCGTAGGAGGGGATTTCTGCCGCTCTATGCAGCCCGCATCTAGCAATGAACCCCGAGGGGCCATCCAAGCTCAGGACCCCCCACTTGACAGTATGGGGAAAGTTTCCAATGCAAGGAAGAGACCCTCATGCCAAGTCCCGACCGAAACCAGACGTGGGGACGGTCCCCCCGGAGAGGGAGAAAGGTCGACAACCCAGCCTGTTGGGCCTGTGGCTACACCGTCTGTTCTAACAGGAGGCATTGGAAAAGTAGCTGAGGTGATGAACCCGGGAGACCACCCTCACTTAGTAGCCCTCTCATCGGCAAACAGTAAGGACCTCTCAGGGGAGCCAATATGTGTGCGTCCACGAAGGGTTACCCAAAGTACTGCCGGAGATAGGAAGAGCAGTAAGAAAGGATCAAACGTGGAGGTTACAACGTCGCACACAAGCACCTGAGGCCAGGGTCGAACACAGGGCAGCGAGCCCTCCTCCACCCCCTCATTGAACAGTGACCAAATGCCACCTAAGGGCCCCCTTCGGCCCAGTGACCAAATGCTGCCATGAGGACAAGATAACCGATCTAGGGTTACGGTCGAGGAGGTTCTAGACGAAGAAGCTCACTTACAGTCCAACATCCCGATCATGCCACCTAAGGGGACATCTCCTGTGACCCCCTCGGTGCCCGAGTATGTACTGACCACCTGAAAGGAGCTCCCTGACATGTATTATGAGCCCTTCAGTTTGCTCTGGACACGACGAGCGCTCCAAATCGCTAAAGGAGATGCCGTGGCCAGGGCCGCCCTCAAAGGCTGGGTACACCCTCGACGTGTAGAAGAAGTAACCGACAGGTTATGTTATGAGTTGGAAGAGCAAACCGAGATGGCCGCTCAGGCAAGGGAAAAATGGGAATGGATGGAGGATTTGAAAAGGCAGCCAATGTATATACGAGGGAGGAAGGGGCGAAACGTCTCAATAAAAGTGCAATTGGAAACCCTAGACACTTGAGAAACCCATGCCCTAAATGCCCTGGTAGACAGTGGCACCACGGGCAGCTCCATAGATCATGCCTGGGCCCAGGAACACGGCCTTAACCTTAAAAAAGCGGCATGCCCTGTCCCCATCTACAATGCTGACAGCACAAGGAATAAAGGGGGAGACATCACCGAGTATGCTGAAGTAAGGTTGCGAATTGGGGACCACGTGGAGCGGATCGAGTTAGCCGTAGTCAACTTAGGCACCACCCCTCTCTTCCTCAGACATGACTGGCTACAACGCCATAACCCGCTCATTGATTGGGATACCGGGGCGGTCACATTGGCCCACTGCACATGCCAAAAAATTCCGTTCTCCCTCCCCAATACCGATCCCTCTGCCCGATGGGACAAGTACGAAGAAGGGGACACCATTTTGGTCATAGATTTTGAGGAAGTCTTCCATGTACAAGCAATGGGAACCAAGGCAAATGAGTTAGCGGCCCAGGCTCACACCAAAAAAGTTGCCAAATCATTCAAAGAAACAGTACTGGAGGAATACTGAGAGTTCAAAGATATCTTCGACAAGGAAAACTTTGATGAACTACCTCCACAGAAACCTTGGGATCATGCCATCGAACTAATTCCCAATGCCAATGCCAACTTGGACTGTAAAGTCTACCCCCTCAACCTGACGGAGCAGGAGGAGCTGGATAGGTTCCTTGACGAGAACCTGTCTACCGGTCGTATCCAAGCCTCGAAGTCTCCCATGGCTTCTCCCTTCTTCTTTGTCAAGAAGAAAGATGGGAAGCTCTGCCCAGTACAGGATTATCGCAAGCTAAATGAGATGACCATCAAGAACCGTTATCCGTTACTGCTTATTGGAGAGTTGATGGATAGACTGAAAAAGGTGAAGTACTTCACCAAGCTGGACATATGGTGGGGTTATAATAACATGAGGATCAAACACGGAGATGAGTGGAAGGCAGCATTTCAAACTAATCGCGGCCTTTACGAACCCCTCATAATGTTCTTCAGGCTAACTAATTCTCCTGCCACATTTCAATGGATGATGAACGATATATTCAAAGACCTCATAGCGGCGGGGGAAGTATCGGTGTACTTGGACGATATCCTCATTGCCTCCAAGACAAAAACAGAGCACAAATGCATCATGTGAAAGGTGCTCCAAATCCTACGAGAAAACAAGCTATTCCTTAAAGCGGAGAAGTGCGAATTCAAGGTGGAGGAGACTGAATATTTGGGAGTAATCATCAGCGAGGGAAGGATCCGAATGGATCCTGTAAAAATCGGGGGCCTATTAGATTGGCCGATCCCCCGGAGGAAACAAGAGCTACAATCTTTTCTGGGATTCTGCAACTTCTATCGATGATTCATTCAGGACTATAGCAAACACGTCAAGCCGCTAACCTCACTCATGGGAAAGCAAGAGTGGAAATGGGGGGAAAACCAGCAGAAGGCATTTGAAAAGCTCAAAGAGTTATTTCGTGAAGATGTGGTGTTAGCCATTCCATTGGATGAAGGACAATTCAGGGTGGAAGCGGACTCCAGTGAAGGAGCGGTGGGGGCGGTATTGTCCCAGTATCAGGGTGAGAAATGGCGGCCGGTGGCCTTTTTGTCCAAAGCTCTCTCCGTTATGGAACGTAACTACGAGATATACGACAAGGAGCTGTTGGCCATTATGATCGCCCTCAAGGAGTGGCGTCAGTATCTGATGGGAGCTCGAGAGGACTTTGAAATCTGGACCGATCATTCCAATCTCCAGTACTTCCACAAGCCTCAAAAACTCAACCGCAGACAAGCGTGGTGGGTGACTGAGTTAGCGGAGTACCAGTTTACGCTTCACCATAAACCTGGGGCCCAGAACCCCAAAGCTGACCTACTGTCTCAACGAGCGGACCACGACCAAGGGAAGGAGGACAATCAGAACATTACTGTCCTTAAAGCTGAACACTTTAGGGCCTTAGTAATGCCTACAGCTGAAGAACTTCATGAAAAGATTAAAGCTGCCACGCATGACCCACATCACTGGGATAGAGGGATCTCCGATTCTCTCAACCATGAGAAGGGCATCCACTGCGAACAGGACCTGCTATGGTATGATGGGCATATCTACATACCCGTAGACCGCCAGCTTCACGGGGAGATCATTGCCCTCAAACACGATCACATTACTGTGGGACACCCTGGTATCAAAAAGACCAAGGAATTGGTACTCCGCGACTACTGGTGGCCACAAATGTGCAGAGACATGGAGACCTACATAAAGGGGTGCGATGTTTGTCAACAAACCAAAGCGGACCGACATCCCAAAAAGGCTCCCCTTCACCCCAATGAAGTCCCGGTTCGCCCATGGACCCACATTTCAGTTGACATGATTACCAAACTCCCGAGCTCTAAAGGATTTGACTCTATCCTAGTCATCGTGGACCGCCTTTCTAAAACCATCATCCCTATCGCATGCACCGAAGAGCTTACCTCCCTTGGCTTCGCCAAGATCCTGAGGGACTATGTTTATGTACCCTATGGCATAATGCCAGAAAAAGTTATCTCAGATCAAGGCTCGGTCTTTGTTTTCAAATTCATGAAGGAATTTTACGCTCTTCTCCAGGTCGAAGGAAATCCTTCCACTGCATATCATCCCCAAACAGATGGCCAGACTGAGCGGGTCAATCAGGAAATCGAGAAATACCTGAAAATGTTTGTTAATTACCAACAAGACGACTGGAGTGACTGGCTTTCATTGGCAGCCTTCACACACAATAATCACCAGCACGCCGCGATGGGGTATTCCCCATACAAAATCATATTCAGGAGGGATGGACAGGTCATTAAAGGAACACACAGGATGGTAGCCGTACCAGCAGCAACAAAGCTAATGGAGGAGATAGAAAAAGTGCAGGGAGAAGCAAAATTATCATTGGAAAAGGCGGCGGAATCAATGAAAAAAGCGCACGATAAACACAAGGAGGCGGCAGTCAAATATCAAGTCAGGGACAAAGTTTGGCTAGATGCAACCAACCTTCACCTTCCCTGCCCTGCGAAGAAACTTGGAGATCGACGAGTGGGTCCCTTTAGCATCACAGCAAAAAAGGGACTATCGGCGTATAAATTAAAACTACCAGTGGCCTGGAAAATTCATAATCATTTCAATGAATCTCTCCTCACTCCATACACTGCCCCTGTTTTCTCCAATCAACCATGCCCAGAGAGACCTCCCCCTGAATTGATTGAAGATGAAGAGGAGTATGAAATTGAGGAGATAGTGGAGCAGAAGGACAAAATTGTAGGCTGGGGACGGAACCGTTGCACTATCACAGAATACTTAGTGAAGTGGAAGGGGTATCCAATGGAGGAAAACTCTTGGGTAAAATGTTCCAATATGGCCAATGCTGAAGCCTTAGTAAACGAATACAAAGCCCAGACCTTGCGCATCAAGGAGAAAATAGATCGAGCCAACAATGGACTATCATACAATGATCCCTCTTCCCTCACCTCACAATCTGAATGGTCTACCGTCACAACTAATGAAGCAGATGGAACACCTGCTATCGACGACTCCACCTCCGAAGACGAATCAGAAGTCAACCTAGAAAATCTACAACAAATTCATGAAAATTGGGAGTTGGACAGTAACGAGGAAGATGATAACCAAGTCCCCTCATCATTCTACTTGGATTCAGCATCTACAGGTGGGACTTCAGGCTCATTCGGGACGAATGAGTCTTAGAGAGGGGGTAATGTTACAGTTTATTCACCTTTTTCCTTTTCTTTTCTTTTCTTTTCACATAATTATGCTTACACATATGTTTCCATTTAACTGGTACTATTTTTAACGTATCAACTTGTACTTAAGTAGTAGCCTATGCTGGTCTAAACCCCAGCTTCGGCTAAGGTTTATTCTACCCAACTCCAAGCTCCTAGTTTCATGACTATCTAAGTCCTCAATCGACTCGCTTTAATCTCCTTTGACCTCTAAGAGTATTGTCCACTGAAGTGTGAGTGGCGATCCTTAGTTGATCTAAGTCGATTTTAGTTGGTTGTTGACAATCCTTCTTGGGTATGCAAAGCATTGGAGCAGCTTGGCTAGTCCTGGCCGACTCCCACCACCCATTCTTGGTGTACCATTGGATCTTGTCACGTAGTTGGCCTTTCATCGACTCAGGGCATCTGGGCAGGTAGTATGCATACCTTGCCTGATCATCCTTCAAAGGTATTGAATGGTTTACACCTCATAGTGGTGGAAGCTTGTCGGGTACTCCTCCAAGAATATCCTTACAAGATTCCAACCATTGTGTGTGCAGCCATGGTGTATCTTTCTTTTTAAGGCACCCCATCTCTGATGTTCGTTCCTTGAATCGTGAAGATGCTAGGTGCATCGCCTCATCCACGGCCATCCTACCGAGTTTCTCCTCAGTAGGCTGCCCTTGGGGGTAGTATTCCTTGGTGAATTCTTGTATGAACTCATGAACTTCCTGCAGATCAGGTTGGTAGTTATTGCTATCCAACTCTAACTCCACAGCTCCATTAGCCATATCTTCAATATCTTTGATAGTCACCGCTTCATCCATACCTATCAGTACGCTGGGGAACAGGTGAGGTAGTGTAGGTTTATTCCCTAACTCCTCACAATCGGTGACTTCCTCTACTGTGGGCACTTTTCTTTGTGTCCGAGGCAGTTCAGGCCTGTCTGAACATGCGAGGTTACTGTCACTTCCATGTAGTCAATCCTTATGTTTGGGGTAAGTGACGTGTTTGGAGTATCATCGAGCAAGCTCTTGTGCTTCCTCCCCCTCTGAAAGGGTAGGCATGGACCTACTGCCCTTTGTACCCAATTGGAGAATGACAGGGTTTGTCAATTCGAAATAGCAAATGTTCGCAACTGGGACGAAGTCGGGACTAATGGCGTCAGACGTACTACCACTGTCGAACAGTGTGAATGCCTTCATGCCATTAATTTCAACCCAGGCAGACAGGCACCTGTTCTCTCCTGAGTGACAGAATGGTCTAGTTCCTTTGTGCTGAGCCCATTTTAATACTGGCTCCAAGGTGGGGGTGAACTCGCCGTGGCTTTCTTGAATTGTACCAAGAAACTCAGGATAGTCCAACGACCACTCATCATGAGACCCGCATTCGCTCACTACAGACTCGTCCTTGTTGGCCTCATTAGTAGAGCCCTCCCCTTCCCTAATTCCCCATAGAAATTCAGACAATTGTGGGTCATGGTCCCTCATAGCCCAATTCCACTCATCATCATTGCCATAGTCGTTGGGATCTTCCACAATTTTGGCCTCATACTCAGATGAATACTGAGAGCCTCCATATGGCTCTTCCGGTACAACCTCAGGCTCAGTGTTTGGGGATTCGGTGGGATTTTCCATGTCTTCTGCCCCATCAACACTCCTGGCAGCCACCATCCAATTAGATGAATTGTTCATTCATCGTTGATCGTACATGGGGCAGTCAGGGTCAGTGGAAATATGGCCAGGCTTTCCACAATGATAACAAGTACGGGTGGATGAATCGGATTCCTTACAAGCCCAATTCATCCCACCTTTAGTAGTGTCCAACTTACGTTTAACAACTACTGTATCTGGGCAAGCGGGAGGGCTGAATTTTCTACATGTCGGGCTGGGAGGTTTGTGCTGTTTATCACTAATTACATGCAGCTTGAGGGCATGCCCCCAAAATTTCTCTTCGGGGGAGGGCCTGTGTCTCATCCTTTTAGCATGCTGCCCCCGTTCTATAACCAGGGCATGTCACATGATATCAGGGCAAGAAGATAGCTCCGTGGACAGCCCTTCATCATATAGCAAGTCACTAATGGATTTGGGCATTTTGTCCATAATGTTACAGCATACATTGTACACATCTGGTTGGGATGGCATGTATTGAATATGGTATACCATGTCAGCATATAGCTGGTGTAGTCCACCATCCCAGGAATACTTCACAGCCTGATAAGATTCTGAGGCTGAGCAGAGGGTAGTCTCATACACAAAGTTATGGAACATCACCTTCACCACCCTCAAAAACATCCATTTGTATGCGACACGACCTCTGTCGATGAATGTGGAATACCAATGTTCGGTGGCACCTGATAGGAAGCCATGGAGCACTAGCTTCCATTGGCAGTCGCAAGATGAAGGGATGGGATCACCCTCATCATTGTGAGTGATAGGACTGCCACAATGCCCAATGAGTCTCATCCATCCAATCACCCCTTGAAACCAACAATCAAACTCAGGAAGGTCAGGTTTCCCATGGTATTTCCTGAGTTTGATCATGCTGCTTGCCATTAAGCACAGCATGGCTGGGTCAATGTCGAGGTCTGAATATAACTCTTGACTGACCAGTAGGTTATATTCATTGAAAACTTAGTCGAGTTGATTATTACCATCAACCACTATAGGTCGATAGTCATAATCCTCCTCTTCAAAGTCATCATAAGCGTGTAATACAGTAGCTTCACACACAAAGTCATGCAGGGGAGTTGGCACATGAAATTGGTCCTCATCATCAGATGGGGGTGGCGAGGGTGGATTACCACCCCCACCACCTCCACCTCCACCTCCACTGGGTGGACCTCTGTCGGAAGGGCCTCCAGCATGAGATAGGTGAGGGGACGGCATGAATTGAGATCCAAATCCCCATAAATTACCATTGTCATGGTTAGACAGTGCTGATGAAGGTGGGTTTTTACCACCACCACCACCACCTCCACCTCCATCTGGGGGTCTGTTTGTGGGACCGCCAGGATTAGATGGACCTGATTCAGGCTGTCTTGGATGCTGGGGGGCCGGAGATCACCCAGTATCGGGCAAATAGCCACCTCCAGGTCCGGGAGGACCAGGGGGTGTTCCATCCTTACAATGGGGGTCCACAATGGGCTTGGTCGTGGAAGGGGACAGTTCTGGTTTCATGTTGGCATCTGGCACCTTACCAGAAGCCGATTGGGCTCCAGCATTGAACTTGGGCAGATGGCATAGGATAGGATTAACCACTGGCGGGACATATTCATGTCCTTTACCCTTGTCGAGTTTCGGCTCTGATTCCTCAGGATGAGTGCCCTCAAGCCCTATCTCCATTCATTCATGGAGAGGCGTAGACGTGGGCCTGAGATGACGGCATTCATCAGAGTCTACATGGGACAGCTGTACCCCAATCTTAGGATTATCTGGGTGGGATACAACATGGTTAACATTGATAACCAACCTGTAATCAGGAAGTGATGTGGCTTTATGCAAGAACAAATCCTGTTGACACAGTAGTTGGATACAACCACACACATGTAAGTTCCGTACATATTCTTCATAGTTGGTATGCATAATATGAAGGTGTTCATGCAATTCCTCGCATGCATCACCAGATACTCCAGGAACATGACCATCCCTGGAGTTGCGAGTTGATTCTTCTACCGCTGCTCCCAATTGGGAAAATCCATCGCTGCTATGGTGGAACTGTCTAACTTTATTGAGTACAGGTATGGGTTCCATGGCTATTATACCAGGTCCTATGCAATTTTCGTTGATGAAAAGATTAATCATATCGCTTTTGAACTTGTAAACGATATGGCTACCCCTTTCAGATCAACAAAAAGCATGGCCTTTTAAGCCCTTGGCTAAGCATCCAGCAAATTCATTACGAGCTTTGGAGTAGACATTAAGACCCCCAGGAGCTAGTAGAATTTCCTTGGGATCCACAGATGGCTGGGGTGAATGGTTATTCACCCCAGTCGTAGGCACCTCCACCTTGACATCCCGAGCCTTCCAATTGGGGTGCAGAGTGTATGCAAATGAGATGTACCTATCACTAAAGACCTCCTCAGGATGGATGAAGTCAGGCTTGAGTATCCCGATTGAAGGTAAGGGGATGTTGTCCGGTAGGACATGGCCTACTATTACGATTTTGCGCCTTATCTTATCTTATCGACTCTCTCGTAATCTCGCTATGCCAATTCTCCGGACTTGATCGCATCCCACCATGAGGATTCAGTACGTTTACCGTACCGTTGCAGACACTTGTAGTATATTTAGCACGATCCAAACTGTATTTAAGTAGCTCGACTGCAGGTCTTAAACCTCAGTCTCGAACTAAAGTTTATTCACCCAATAACTTAGTCAGAACTCACTCTCGCTCAACTAAGCGATAGCTCCCTTAACGCAAACCTGCGGACAACATACAGCGCCTGACCGAAGTGCGAGTCACGCTGAGTTGTTTGATCTTGTTTGTGAAATCAGTCGCTAACAATTAGTTCGAGACTTCCTTACTCTTCATCAACAACCACGTTGACGAACAGTAACGAATGAACCCTATCGAACAATACCTCACCGACCTCTTTGGACTCCAAGGCTTTATTGCCGTAGCCTACCTCGCATTCCTATATGGATACGAGCACCGACGAAACCAGGAGCCAGTCTCCAAAGAAACTATCCCCGTCGAAGCCCCCAACCAGGAGGTTAGACGACCGGACACACCCCCCCCCCCCCCCCGACTATATCAACGACAGACCCGTACCCCACGTCCACTTCATCTTCATCCAAGACGATGAGTGGATCACAGAGAACTCCGACACAAGCGAGTCCGGTGAATCCGACACTGAGATGGAAGGATGGCCCCCACAAAGAGGCCCAGTCGTTGAAGAAGAAGAAGAGCGAGGAGTCTACGAACAAGGGGTGGACCAGCGTGTTCTCTCTCCCATTACCGAAGAGGAAAGCGAAGGGGAAAGCGAAGGAAGTGACCCCTGGAGTGCCCCTTCCCCCACATCCACCGAAAACTCAGCCGCCAATCCTGGCTACGATTCAGACGGACAGCGCCTCTATCAAAGAGAGCTTAGATATCATCTGGGAGAAAGAAGAGAGGCTGAAAATGGAACTGGAAGCAGTTCAGATGAAGAGAGCAGCAATACAGAAGAGGACGGTGACAGCGACGAGCTCCCAGGGCCGTGCAACAACTGGTCCCCTCCAAGGTTGGACTCCAGAGGAGAGACCTGGGGCTACTACTACGCCCATAACAATTCAACAGACGACGAAGAAGAGTACTTCACCCTCGTTACACGACCAAACACCCCGATCATCGTCAACGATAGGGCCGGGGAAGCAACTACTGAGCTCGACCAGTGCGAGCCCACATATGACGCCGATGCCAGCTGCGAAGTATGCAGACGAACACAGGACTACGCCGACGCGTGGCTCATGTACGAAGGAATCGAACCCCCTTCCTCCATCATCCCCTTCACAATCTACCCCCTTGCACCCTCGCACCCCCTTGCAGCCCCCGTCCCCTTCATTGCACCCTGGGTATGGGATAGACCCCGGAGACCAGACTTCGAGCAAGTCATACTCAGGGTCAACGAGTGGGCACGAATCATTCGAAACTGGAACTGTATCGTCACGGGAAGCACGGAGCCTTTTGAGCGAGTCCGACCAATCAGACTTAGAAGAAGGAGAAATCTATGAGAACCCTGGAATAGGGCCGACTTCGACTTACAACAGCAGCATAGAGTCGGAGAGTATGGTGACGAGGATGTCATCCCGGAATTCGTGGAGGGATCTAGCTCGGGAGCCTACTGAGGCCGAGCTAATTCAAATGACATATTTAGAGATGCTGCGCTGGACGGAGAAAAAACTACCAAAGGAAATATCATGGAATGGCTCGCCACAGGGGAGGTACTTCCAGAAAGAAAAGAGCTCGCCAATTGGAGCCCAAGTGCTTTATCGAGAAACCCTGTACCACACAAACATTCTATGGAACCAGGTTCACCCGGACGATTACACGGATCCCGGGGAACGATACCAGGTGCCAGCCATATCAGAAGCATCAAGCGGAAGCATGGTGGACTTAAGCCACCTATCGATTCTCAGAAGAACAGGGTATGTTGACCCTAGCCAGCTATTTGCAGCAGCAGGGACACCAGGAAGTGCAGGCGCAGCAGTCCCCATGGTACCAGTCCCTGCGCCACAAGGCCCCCTATCCCCACATCATAATCCTGAATTACGATCCCTACCGCGTCCAGTGGCAATCCCTATCCCCGCCGACCCTGTACAACCACCGAACACGCCACCACCATTCATAGTCGGGGTGGCAAACACCAACCCATGGGGACAGGTGAAGCCACAACTGGCGGACCCACCCGAAAAGTTCAAAGGAGAGTCCGGTGACGTGGACAGATTCCTCAACCAGTGCAAGGACTATTTCAATGTATTTCCTCAGCAGTTCACCATGAACGCACACGGACAAAGCCCAAACCGGGTGGTGTTCTGTACGTTCCGACTCACAGACAAAGCATTGCACTGGTGGAATCACGCCCGGGACGAATACTATGACGAAACATGCGGATACCTGCGATACCCCGTGTGGCATGTGTTTAGGCAAATCATCGAAGACCAGTTCCGAACCGATGCAGAGGTAGAACTCAAGTTACAGGAGTTTAAACGCATTCGCCAAAACACATACAAGTCGGCAAAGGAATTCTTCCGCGACTTCGAGAGGCTGGCAAAAGAATCCGGCAAACGACACAATGAGGAATACATGATCGAGATCCTCAAACCGGCCATTCGAAAAAACGTCAAAACCGCGATTCATGCTACCGGAACCGCGCTTCCAAGAACATACGCAGAATGGAAATTCCGGGTCGAGCAGATGGACTATAACTACCGCGTGGGATTAGCGGAAGACGCGGGTAGAAACCAAGGGATGCAGGGACAACAGAACAAGGGAACGGGAAAAGCCGGTAGCTCCGGGAATTCCCAGGGTGACAAGAAGACAGGAACAGGGACCACGTATGGGGGCCAAGGACAACCGATGGAAATAGATCGACTGCGGAAAGAAGGACGATGCTTCCACTGCGGTCACAAGGGACATCAGAAGCAGGACAACAAATGCCCCAAGGACGAAAGTACGTAGCTCGTCAAGCACCAGCCCAAGTTTTTGTGTGCCCAAATTCGCGCAATGTATCAACAAGTATTGAAGGATGAAGAAGGAGAGGCCTCCACGTCGAAGATCGAGGAGGTAAAAGATGAGCCAGCGGCGTAAGCGACAAACGCGTGTCGGCAAAGGACATAATTTCATTTAGTGGTGCGTCACAGAATCCCGCAGGTCGAACTAATGTACTGCATGTAGTATCTCGAGGCAATGACAAATCTTTCATGCTATCACAAAATGAAATTATCAAGTCGCATAAAAGGGAGAACGGTGTACAGGGGATTTCCACCGTGCTCGAAGAAGAACCCCATTCAAGATCCTCGGCCACCGGTGCGAAAGCACAAGCGGCGCATGCTGCGCAAGGCAGCGGGAAACTCGGGATCAACCTCACTCCGTCGGGGGCAGTAGATGGCGCGGGGAACAGAGGAAGAGCAGCCGAGCCCAAGGCGAGCAGTGAAGAACCCCACTTGGGGGCGGAATGTATGCACCAGCCACGAGTGACCAACTGCCCCCATCGTGGAATGGAGCCGCAAGAGGGAACGCGAATCCCCAGCAATAAAACCGCTGCCCCGCAAAGAACAGTCCAGACGAACGGGGACCCCATCCCTTTACAGCCTATCACGGTACGTCTACCCCCTTCGTCTCTAACACATAATGGCACCGGGGGCTCGTGTTCCCCGGTGGGCGGGTCGGTGGGACCATTATGTGCTTCCCCTATTTGTAATAAAAAGAACGTTTCTATCGAAGAAGTGCCTGATGAGGAAGACGACTACAGTTATCAACAAAACCTCAAAACACGAGGGGAAGACCTGGTGGTTCACACCGAGGAGTACCCGGAGGATTACGAAGTAACTGAGTTGGAAGAAGAATATTATGACGACAAATGGGATAGGGGATGGCTTAAGCCGCACAGCACTGAATGGGTAAGACGAAAAATGAGACAGGAGAAGACCATGGAAGGAAAGCTTGCTACCCTCCGCATGTGGGTACATCCGAGGCGCCTCATAGAGGTAGACGAGGATCTAGTTCTAGATCTCATCGGAACCACAAAGGAAACGTATAGACAGCGGGAGCAGTGCCTACAAAACATGGAGGACTTGCGAATTCCTCCCCAGTACATTCGAGGAGGAAAAGGCCGAAGCGTAAATATTCGAGTACAGCTCGA